TAGTTTCTACGTGCAAGGAAGTTTATGACAGGAACACGTGAGTTAATGTTTGATTTAAGATAACACTTAGATATCATTGTAAAATCAGACAATTAACTTATAGAAGTAAACTGATAAGATATTAAACGACTGTGAATATATGAAAGTCATATATATTTGAACTGCGGATAAAGGCATGAATTTGAAAGAGATCTTCGCACTTATGAGCACTACTTGAGCAGAAGTGAAAATAAGGTCTGCTAAGATATTTTTATTAGCTTTTTTTCATTGTGAAAAACTCTTTTTTAGGGGGAGTTTTATTTTTATTCCTTTTCGGTCAACTTTTGGTAGGGGTATAAATATCGAGCAAAATATTTTTTCTTTTTAAATTTGCTTTCAATAGTGTGGTTTGATATATCAAATGAGTATGGAAGAAAAAGATTGTAAAAAAAGAAAAAAAGATTGATGTCGCTTGTCAAGTGTCCCCGACGTTTCGTCCATTATTGGCAAAACGTTAAAATTCATATAAAAACTTTACTGTACTTCGTGTACTAGAGAACGACATCTCTCGAGTTTAATATCAGTGGTATAATTTCAGTTTTATTAATATCTCACGTGCAAGTACATTCGATAACACGATTTTTTTCAACAGATCGACTGTGGATAAACTGGTGACATTGCACATTGATTCAAAACCAATTTCCGTGTTCTGTCATATGAAAATCGATGGATGTGGCAATGGAGGATGGACGCCAGTCATGAAAATCGATGGTGATAAGGTCTTGTTCCTTTTTCATATGTCTATTATTATTTTATAAAACGGCTCGTTTTCTTCCTCGTTCGACACATTCATAAAAATGTACCCCATAGCCAGTACCTTCAACATACAGCTAGAGTTGACTATGCCCATTTCGTTTAATTCGCCTTTTTAAGCTCATTAATTATCTATTAATTTATTTGTTTTTTTAAACGTATTTATTTAAGGACACCTTCCACTTTGGCTCACACTACTGGACTGATAAGAACGAATACAGCCCCTTTGGCGGACAGACTGCGTTTGATAGGCAAGAGACCAAGTTATCGACTTACTGGAACACGCCCTTCTCTAAGATCTGTCTCGGTATGAAGATCGACCAACAGCTCAAGTTCATCGTCATCAAAAAACAGGCCGACTCTCTATACTCGCTGATTGCGGACGAAAGATATCGAAGCACATCACTGGGTCGCGAGAAATGGAAGGCGTTGATTGGTTCGAAGGGTTCCTTACAACTCCGTTGTAACAAGGAAGGCTTTAATGCTGTCTCTGATGAACGTCATTCTAGAGCTAGAATTGGAATACTTGGTAACAATGAAAATGAGTGCAATACTTGTGATTCCAGAATTGGGTTTGGTACTGGGGGTGATCCTGATAACTCTATAACATGTGGAAATGCAGCCTCATGGTTTTATGGGTCGGATAATGGAAAAAGTGATATCAGAACAATGGGGTACATCTTAGTGCAGTAGAAAGCACTACTCGGGAAAGATACCACGTGCACGAAACGATAAAATGGTGTTACTGGAACCTTAAACGGCCGGGAATCATTATCAGGGCAATAAAATTTCACATGAATGAATAGGTGGATGGACATATCAGGACGAGTACGTAAATAAAAGTCGAAAAAAAGGAATCAGTCATTACATAAGTACCCTGAATGTCTAACTTTAAGAATCAAGTTATAAGATACTTTGAGATTTAATGATTTTTCCTATAATTAGCAATGAGATGCAAATCTTTTAAAATGAGATATTTGATAAAATTTGATAATTGAAAATGAATGAATAGGAGAATGGACAGATCTGGACGAGTACGTAAAAAAAAGTCGACGAAAATGAATCAGTCATGACATAAATACCCGAGTGTCTAACTTTAAGAATCAAGTTATAAGATAATTTGGGATTTAATGATTTTTCCTTTAATCAGCAATGAGATGTAGATCTTTTAAAATGAGATATTTGATCAAATTTGATATCAAGCTTTAGGTGTAGCATGTCTAATATTAAATTTCACTTTGTTGGAGTTTTGGTTGCCCAAAACTTGAAGTATACTGTGCTTTAAAGTTCTTTGTTATATTGGCGAAGCTTACCAACATGTTAATTATATCGGCGAAGCCTACCGACATGTTAATTCCATTATAATCTAAATTCATAATTAGTCCATAGAATGGAAGGAATATTTAGACATTTTCTAAATGACTCTTGGATTATAAGACAGTAGGTAAGCTGAGAATCGCAAACAGCCTACAGAATATCACTCAAAATACGAGTGCAAAAAGAAATTACACCATCTCAAGAAATTTTTTGTCTTCCTTTGAATCTACTGCGAATTTGAACACACAGGGCATTTCTTTTCAATTCTAGATACTGCAAGTGAGGGAAACAGGAAATCGCGATAAGCTTTAACCAGTTATTTGCCAGTTTGTCACAGTTTCCATTAATATTGACAAGTTACCGCTATTCAATGTCACAGGTCATTTTTGCTTCATGTTGAGTTATCTCTTAAGATAATTAAGGAAACCTTGCTATAATGATTCTTAGAAAATGGGTAAAACCGCTGAAAGAGTCTCAATGCGGCGATGACTTTTACAGCTAAGGGTTAAACTTTTGGCCATTTAACGGCTAACAGTTAATATAGTTCCATTGCTGTCAATACAATTTTCTTCAGCGGTTCACATATTTAAAAAACTATTTAAAGACTACTGGTTAAACAATTTCTTTTTACGCCCAACGTCTTAATATGTTGGCCGTTTTACGGCAAACGGTTAACACCATTCAGATCCTCCTGTGAAGAACGACTTTAATTAACGACGGCGAAGATTCACATGGATTGCACATCACAATTTCCTTCAAAAAAGTTAGCGATAATTCGTTACCTTTCCAGCAAAAAAACAAAAACAAACTAAAATCAAGCCAAAACAAAACAAAAAGACAAAGCAGGAAATATTAAGAAAGGAAAAAAAATAATCTAGTGATGTATTTTTCATGGATCCTGTATTCCAATAGCAGCAACAGCTATAAGAACCTCTTTTCAAGAGGCAATAAAATAAAAAATAATCTATGTCAAAACTCAAGAAATTTCCAGTCATTTTCTGATAGAGACCATATCTCCATTAACCTATTGTTGTTTTAATGAAAATGTGAGAATCCTCCATCTGTTTTGTCTCAGCAGGACTGTTATTTCTTTCTACTCCAGACCGAGCATAACCTGTCATACTTTTATAAACAAACCATTCAGATATTCAAAAATAATTGAATAGACTTTGTCACTTCTAGTTTTATTCAATCTTCTCCAAGGTTGATATTCGTGGCAGGTTTTATGATACGACATTTGAGTGGCATAGAAATTCCCACAAGGAAGCGAAGTCACCAAATTTTCACGTATTTGACGCCACTCTATGGAAAATTGAGAACAATTATTTAGGAAACTCTGACCGCAATATGCACTCATTTATTATGCTAAGAAGAGCATCAGATAGTATGCGTCAAATAGATCATTATGTATGCAGGTTAGGTTTTTCATAATCAGAGTCTTGCCTGCGTGAACGAAAGCCGTTTCTGACAAATATAAAATCTATATATGAAACATATAAAATATCATATCGCTTAGAAGAAACTGCAATCGAGGCCTTTCGCGTGATAATAGCTGAAACAATAAACACTAAATAAATCATGATTGACGAAAACTGTTACACCGTAACTATGATTCTACAGGTTAAGAATGACGTATAAATGACAGGGATAATTGATAAGCTTCAACGGTATATTTCGTTAAGCAAGAGTAAATGAATCGAATAAATGCTGAAAAATTTGGCTATGGATACCGTTTTTATCTGCGTTCTTTTGATGAAACTTTGCGTCATGAACCTCAGGGCTGTTGAATCACAAGGTTAGTATCGAAAAAACTCATATTACGTCTTAACAATGTAGCGCTTTTCCTGTTGTTGGCATATGGACCTAAGTTATGAATCTGGCGTTGTTTTTGTGTTTGTTTTGGTTTTTTATTTGTTTAACGAGATGTTTAAGTACAAGTCTTTCGAAATAATTTACTACGATGGCGCCCATCCTATGAAACTTTTGCAGCTATCTGCATCGATCCTGTGGAATTTTTGCAGCTATCTGTCTGCATCGATCCAATATACTTTCGCGGTTTAAGTCCCTAGATCGACTTCGATAGGTAATCTTCCCCCTTTTGCCCAATGTTCTGTCATCAATGATTTAGATGCTATTGAAAGAGTGAATAGACAACCCTTTTTCAGTCGGATTAAGTGAAAAGAAGCTGCTTTTGCGACTTTTGGGACTTAAAACGATGAAGTCCCTGTTTTTGACTTATCGTTAGGGTTGCGCAATCGATATTCAGCCCGCGAGTCTTGAAGACGTTTTAAGGATTTCTCCTCTTAATGCCGAAATAAAATCTTGAAACGTTGCAGCAGATTAGGCTCATTTTGAGGAAACTGCACAGTTTACCGACTAAAACTATTTTGGAACATCGCTAAGTCTGGAAGGGCTGCTTTACAACTGCTGTGAAATTATTTCTACACCATAACCTAGTTTTTCGATATCAATTTTACGGAACTTTACCATACCCCGAAAGATTCAATTAATTAATTTGGGATTGTGTGCAGTGTCGGTCCTAGTATTCCATCGCCTACGTTCCAGCACGTCAAAGATGGCATGAAAAAGCAACCTCCTAGCGCTCAAAAAGCGTATTGCATTGTCTCTCTCGTCGTTAATTATTTCAATGCGGGCGGTAAACATCTATCCGCTTCTAGAGCCGAAATAAACCTTATGTTTAATTAAGAGTGAAAAGAGAAGTTTCCAAATTTAACCTGCGCAGTATGAGCAGAACTCTGAAGGATATTGCGCCATGTTAAAGGTTGTGAGAGATGATTTCTTTATAAATAGATGTAAGATTCATATTTTATCGTTGTTAATCTAAAACACATTACTGAAACCCTTTATCTCTTAAGAATACTGTGATGCGGACCAATGCCGTCATTTGGAGTTCGGGCCTGAAAAAGCTTTTAACGGGAAACGTCTAAAAAACCACGTGATCCGCGCCGTCGAAGTTATGGTCAAGGAGTTCTGCGAAACAGTGTGTTATATGGAACCGGACTGTGTCAGTATCAATCTTGAGAAAGGAGTGGATGGTAATAGGAAATACAAATGTGAATTGAATAATGTCACACACGAAGGACACGAAGGCGATTTGATTGAGGAGGAAAACTACTTCTATCACGCGGCTGAGGTAACTGCAATTTAGCCAGAAGGGCTCTAGGTCAACACTTCATCACAAAAAAGAAGGTCCTCTTTATTTTCCCCTGTTTTATCTCGCCAATCACCTCTGTTAACCTTTCATTTTTCTTTTTTAACAATTTTTGCTTAGGTTTGTGGGTTAATAGTCGGTTTACAAGTTTCATTACAATCTCAATTTTTTCCCTTGCAAATCTGTATTGCCTGATCTCTAAGAAATTATATTTTTGATACAAACAGTCTAAAAGAAGCAGCGTTTTTTTCGTATGGTTCGATTCGTTGTAGAGTGCTTGCGTCGAGAATCCTTGCAAGAATAACGCCATTTGTCAAAGCGGTTTTACCAACAAAGGTTACCGCTGCTTGTGTACAGCTGGATTCAGGGGCCAAACTTGTGATGAAGGTATGATAACGCTGATTCCTTAAAGTGACTTTGTACACACCTGTACATGTAAACCTAGATATAAGGAAGATTGACAAACTTGCAAATTCTGATATTGACCCCATCCTTATTTGAAGAATTCAAAATTTTAAGTATACAATAAGTGGCAAAAGTCTTGGCACGCTCTACTACTACTTTTTGCTTTTTTCTATAACTTTCATTTATCCCCCCCCTCCCCCTCACATTCCCCCTATTGCAATGTTGTCTTGTGCTGGTGTTGATGTTGTCAAAATGGTGACCACCTGGGAACGTTGTTTTTGCTGTTGTTTTCTTTTTTTCTTCAAGAATTTAAAGATTTTTATTTTATTATTATGTTGAGTTGAGGGCTGTCAACCACCCACCAATGAGAGGCATGCCAGCTGCTTTTGTCTCTTATTATAGAAATGAATAAAACAGCCTGGCCACCTAACGAAATAATAGATATATCATAGCATGTCATAACTTCTGCGATGGATATTTAGGAACGTACAATTCAACAAAACGCACCATCATCGAACTGATTTTGAGGCCGTTCTGAAGCTATGAACATATTTTCAGATATCGACGAGTGTACTGAGGCTGAACACAACTGCAAGCCCACCCATCAGTGCGAAAATAGCGAGGGAACTTACAACTGCATTTGTCCACCTGGATATTATGGAGAGAATTGCGATACTTCGGGTAATGCAAAACAGAACACAGATAATTTAATAATAAGCTATCATTTTTTTACTAAGATCGGAAGAGAGGAACATTCTAAAGAGCAGTTTGACCTGAAGCGAATGAGTCAGGCTTAATATCCTGACAGTGGGGTGTGGACACGCTTTCCGTGAGGATGTTAGCTCTTTATGCATATTCTATGCATATTCTCTCTACTATTCTCCACACACTTCCTGAGGTGCTGACAAGTAGAACCTTTAAAATAATCAAAGACTTCTTTAGAACGCGATCGTTATCTTTACTCACCTAACCTTAATGTGTGATTCAGAGGTAATTTTATAATGGGAATTTGGATGCAAATCACTCTTAAAGGTCGAAGGGATGAGGCGTTATCCTACAGCCAATGTGGGAATGAGGCTGTGTTTACACTGGAATCAATATTCAAAGAACAAAGAAGGGTTGTATTTAGCTTTCTTTAAAATTTTAAGTCATATTAAGCTAATTATTATTCATTAGACTTATTACAAAAAAATTGATTGGTCGAGAACATTCAATGAATATTCAAGAGGGTTTGAAGTTGTTGTGATAAATAAAATATATACGGCAGATATTTCCCTTGTCATGTCGAGTTCATATCTTCTAACTCAGACCTGGGTTCTGATGATTCATGATATCATGCCGAACCTCATCAATAATTGCTTAACATTATAGTCATTGGAAACTTTTGACTCCGTCTCAATACTTTTGTTCTTGCAGCTTCGAGTTGTAAAGAGGCTTATGAAAAGGACATGTAAGTTGAAGAAAAGAAGGGAAGAATTGACTTTATCATAGAAAGACAAATAAAAAATATAGTTGACAATACATAGGTAGATAAATAATATGAATGCCACTGTACGTAGAGGCTACGAGAAAAAAGGGCGGTTAAGGCTCTTTTGAAAAAAGTGAGAACAAAGAAAGAAGAATGGAAAAGCGAGCTTGGATAATTTCTTGTTGTAGATTAAAAATTAGACATTATTCAAAGATCAGATGTTTTCAATCTGGTGTCTTACTTTATCATAGAAAACTAGCTTGCTTACGGCACCTTTAGCCTGTTAGCCGGTTATGCAAGGCAATCTGCAGTAAGTTGCTGAGGAGCGAAGCGGTAAAGAACTCGTGCAATATACCAGTTCTTTAGATGCGCTAGTTTAAACATTAATTATTCACCACTGTCATATTTGTATTCAAGTTTATGGCGGAAATTGACACTCTTACAGTACACATGTCATTAGAAACCAATAACTAGGACATACGATCATCTTTTATCCCTTTTGTTGTTTACTACGATAAAAAGTAACAATATATTATCAAATTATTCTAACTGTTATACTCTATATTCTATGCGGTTATCCCTTCAGAACTAAAGAAAGTGGTCAAATTACGTTGCTCCTTGAATCTAAACCAGTACTCATTTTCTGTCACATGGAAAATTTTGGATGTGGCGATGGAGGATGGACGTTGATCATGAAGATTAATGGAACGAAGGTCACTCTCTCTCACTTGCTCCTTTTATGGTCTCAATGTAAAAGAATAATAATAATAATAATAATAATAATAATTCGAATAAGTAAAGATTTTGTAAAGCATTTGACAATAAAAATCTGCGATAAAATATTATAAAGCATAACACGACGTTTCGACGTTTCCAGAACGTCATTATCAAGTGAACTAGAATAATAAAATCGAGTATATATATAATGAAGCGGTGAATAAATTACAAAGCGTTAAAAGTTAAACAAAGAGTTTGGCCCTAATGGAATCGCTCTGGGTGTTTAAATTGGACCTTATTGTTCTTATGTACAACATTTCATGAATAAGACAATCCCATTTCGTGCCACATTTTTTAAGCATTCTAAACTGGCTCTCATTGAGTAAGTCAATGTTCCCATGGGCATCTCTCAGGTGGCGACCAATGGCAGAGTATCGATGATCAGCAATGCGTTGAAATAAATGGCGCGTCGTATATCCGACGTAATTTGAATCACACAAATCACATTTAAAACAGTAAACAACGCTATGCTGATTTACGATGCGTGGCTTGATTTCTTGATAATATTTTATCGCAGATTTTTATTGTTAAATAATAATAATAATAAACAATCTTTAAGGAGGAAGCGCCTGTCACGTAAATACGTGGGTTTCAGGGAGGTCCTCCGTAAAAAATTAAAAAGTATTAAAAGCTTAAATAAGAAATACAAATGTCACAGATCTAAAATATAAAATATACGGCGTATATCTAAAAATTTTTATCCATCATTTAAAATATTTATCCATTAAGAATCTTGTTAAGTTTTCCTTAAAAATTGTGCATGGCATTGGCCTTCTTAAAAATACTGGGAGGGACATCCAGTCATTTGTAAAACGGAAGTAGGACACCCTCTTTCCGAATTCCGTTTTAGGTTTAGGCAGTCTAGGTAAGTAGCCATTTCTAGTGTTGTAGCCATGCGAACTTCTCAATGTCGATTTAAAACTTTCAAAATGTTGCGGAATGTCTCTTTTGATTGCATTTTCTACGGTGGGGAGGAAGCCAATTCAGACACTTCAGAGCTTCTGAAGAAGACATCTTGCCTAATTTAATTTTCTTCGCAAATTTGTTCTGAAAACTTTGCAATTTTTCCATTTCTGATTTTAGACCGGGTTGATCTCCCCACACTGTGTCGGCATAGTCTAGATGTGGCAGCACTAGCCCATTGAAGAAGGCTATGCGAGTTCTATTGTCTAACATATGAAATATGCGATTAAACAAAGAAAGACGATTATCTATTTTCTTTAGCAAATTGCTGATATGCGGCTTCCAGCTCCATTTTGCATCCGTTGTTACTCCCAGATATTTGAATGACTGCACGCGATCGATTCGTGTACCATTTGGTTGCAACTCAAAGTCTTCAAATAAGGATAGCATCCTTTTACTGCCTGCCAGCATAAATTTGGTCTTCTTGACATTTATAGTCAACCTGTTATCAGTGTACCAGTTACTGATTTCAGTGAATTCACGTTCCAGAGCAATTTGAAGTTCTTGACGTGTTGATGCGTCACAAAAGAGAACAACATCATCTGCATACAACATCTCTTTAACAGCATTTGGCAGGCTATTAATGAACACATTAAATAGCAAGGAACCCAAAATTCTGCCTTGTGGCACGCCAAGTGTGATGGTATGTGGCTCTGATAATTCTCCGTTTACCAAAACACTTTGCTGTCTATGAGCAAGATATGATCTGAACCATCTGAAAGATCTTTCATACATGTCCTAAATGCTCGAGCTTGCGTAGTAGCACTTTGTGGTTCAGAGAGTCAAACGCCTTGGAGATATCGACAAACAGTAGACCAGTTACTTTACCTTTGTCCATAGATTGAAGAACCCAGTTGTTCAATTGTGTGATAGCTTGTTCAGTGCTATGCCCACGCCTAAAGCCATACTGATGTTGATACAGAAAATCTAGCTGATGTAGATGGGCATTCAACTGGGAATGCACCACTCTTTCTACGACTTTACTCGATACTGGCAACACAGAGATAGGCCGATAGTTCTCAACTTGCAGTTTATCATTAGCCTTGTATAAAAGAATAACACGTGCAACTTTCCACAGATCAGGGACAATACCATCGCTAATTGATTTGTTCACAAGATAGGTGATTGACGGAGCAAGCTCCGCCTCAGAATCTTTTAGCAGCCTTGCTGGAATTCTGTCAAGTCCAGCTGCCTTATTAACTTTCAAAGAATGCAAAATGCTTTGAACAGTGTTCTGTTCAACCCGTTGAAAGTCCAAGGTGGATTTGATATTACTCTGCTTGTTTGCTTCTTTCACTGTTTCATATTTCTTCCATGCGTCCTTACTCACAGGGCGCAATCGACCAGCAACTTTGCTGCCAATGGCAGCAAAAAACTTGTTGAATTTTGTTGCTACGCTTTTTGGCTCCGATACAAAACGTTTCCCGCCATGTACTTGAAAAGGAGAGCCCCCCTGGTTATTAGAACCAATCACGGAGTTTAGCGAGCGCCACATGTCCTTAGGATTCTCAGCTGACTCAATTAGATTTTTTAGTGCAATGCCTCCGCTGATTTTATCTTTCTGTTCGTAAAGTTTTTCAATTTACGATACTCATTCCACTGTTCCTGATTGCCAGATCTCTTCGCAACTCTTAATGCATAGTCTCTTTCAGCCATCAGTTCTTTAAGATCATTAGTGATCCAAGGTTTAAACGCATGTTTTGTTCTAATTCTCTTTAAATTAGCATGCTGGTTTGCAACATCAAAAAAAAGATTATTCCAGGCGACTACAGCATCATTGATATCGTCAAAAGACTCTATAACACTCCAGAGAACGCTAGCAATGTCTCTCCGAAAATGGTTTTTATTGTAATGTTTAAAAGATCTTACGTCGCGGATTTCCACGTGAGCTTTGCAAACTCCGGCTTTCTTTACTACGAAAGTAACAGAATGATCACTTGCTCCGAATTCCTGGACTCCATGCGAGACAATACGGTGAGTGTTATTAACAAACACAAGATCAATTGCCGTACTTGTGAATTCCGTCACGCGCGTGGGCTCTTTGACGAGTTGACTCAGACCATGGAGACGAGTCGTTTGCATTAATTTTCTGGTATATATGCATGGTTTAAGGGGAATAACATCTAAGTTAAAATCTCCCATAATGACCAAATCCTTTACCATTTCGTCGTCCAATTTAGCGAGAAACTCCTGTTCCAGGCCTAAGATAAATTTCTCTTGATTCATACTGGGTGGTTTATACATCACAGCAAATATCGTGTTCTTAGCCTTTTCTGGACATATTTCTACGCATACCATTTCTAAACAGCCAGATTCTAAGTCACTTCTCCGCTTGCTTGGCCATTTGCTCCTTACAAAAACGGCGCAACCACCTCCATTTCGAGTTCTATCTTTTCTGTAGCAAGTATAACCCGAAGGACATATCTTACTATCGAGTAATGTACAATCCAGACGCGATTCTGTCACCGCAAACACATCCAATGCTGCTTTCTCCATTAGTACTTCAGCGTCGGGTAGTGTCCCGACAAAGTTGCAATATTTACATGAGCAAATTTCATTCTTCTCTTCTTAAGATTTGCATGAAGATCTTTATTTATCCTTACACTGGGCTTTCCTTCTTTTACTCCTGTGTTATTTGTTTTATGTGACTTGCGGACCGGTGTATCAAAGCCAGGTGATAAACGAGTTATGCATTCCCAAGCCAGAGAAGGTTCGCAAAGTTTGTCATATTTCGTTCTCTTCATACTGATACACTTAGCATGAAACCACTTGTCGCATGAATCGCATTGTATCGCCATCTGATTCTTTCGGCATCCTTCAGTGCAAACAGCACAAGCATCCGTCATCGGCCCTAGATCCTCCTGTATATCTCCTGCTAACAGAACCATGTAAGTTGCGCAGACAGTGATATTTGCCAATTTCAGTGCGGCCATACGTTTCAAAGATGGCGGCACAAGTGCTTCACGTAGGAACCTCCGAGTCGGACCAGAATTTCGCGTTGGATACTGCTTAATATCCAAACCCGTCGACACAGAGATACTGCAGGACGTCTTATCGAAACCACGGTTAGGTTTTAGAGAGTGTAGGACAATTGTGATAAGTAGCCAAGCCAAGAATATCAGACAACATCGATAGCTCGCCATTATTGCGCGGTGATCAAGGATGATCTTGAAGTTGTGGTGTTCCTTGTGTTGAAAGGGCAATCAAATATTAGTTGCTCATCTTACATAAATCACAGAAATATGTTTCGCCTCAATATTCAAGCTTTATCCCAAGCTTTATCCCAAGCTTTATCCCAACGTATCTGAGACCTTTGATCTCTTTCCTCCCTTTATACGAAACATTAAAGAAAGTTTGTTATTTCGGTTGTTAATGCAAATCGGTGGTGATAATGTCATGCTTCTCTTTTCAAATGTCTATGACTATTTTACAAAACGTCTCGTTTATTCACTAAGTTCGACACATCCAAAGAGTTTAACCCACAGCCAGTAGCTGCAGCATGCAGTTTGGATCGACTATGTCCATTTCGTTTTATTTGCCTTTTGTTAAGCTTATTTAATTATTCATTAATTCATTTGTTCATTTATCGTATTAATTTCAGAACACCTTTCACTTTGACTCACACTACTGGACTGATAAGAAGGAATACAGCCCTTCTGGCGGACAGACCGCGTTTGACGAGCAGGAGACTAAGTTATCGACTTATTGGAACACGCCCTTTTCTAAGATCTGTCTCGGTATGAAGATCGACCAACAGCCCAGATTTATCGTCATCAACAAACAGGTCGACTCTTTATACTCGCTGATTGCGGACGGAATACATCGAAACACATCACTGGGTCGTGAGAGATGGAAGGCGTTGTTTGGTTCGAAGGGTTCCCTACAACGCCATTGTGACAGGGAAGGCTTAAATGCTGTCTCTGATAGAGGTGGTCATTCTAGAGCTAGAATTGGAATACTTGGTAACAATGAAAATGAGTGCGAAACTTGTGATTCCAGAATTGGGTTTGGTACTGGGGGATATCCTGATAACTCTATAACATGTGGAAATGCAGCCTCATGGTTGTCTGGGTCGGCTGATAAGGTAAATTATATCCCAACAATGGGGTACATCTTAGTGCAGTAAAAAGGCACTACTTGGGAAAGGTACCACGTGTACGAAACGATAAAATGGTGTTGCTAACACCTTAAACGGCCGGTGATCATTCTTAGAGCAATAAAATTGCAAATAAATAAAAAGGTGAATGAACAGATCTGGAAGAGAGGGTAAATAAAAGTCGACGAATACTGAATCAGTCATTCAATCAATACCCTGAGTGTCTGAATTTAAGAATCAAGTTCTAAGATAATTTGAATATTTAGTAATTTTTCCTATAGTCAACAATGAGATGTAGATATGTTAAAATTAGATATTTGATATCAAAGTTTAAGTGTAGCATTTCTAAGATTAAAATTCAATTTATTTAGAATTTTGATTGCCCAAAAATCGAGGTGTACTGTGGTTCGAAGTTCTTTCTTATATTTGCGAAGCTTAACGACATGTTAATTGTATTGGCGAAGCTTACCGAAAAGTTAATTCCATAATACTCTAAATTCATAATAAGTCCATAGAATGGAAAGAATATTTAGACATTTTCATAACGACTCCTGGTTTAGAAGACATTAGGTAAACCTAGAGCCGCAAATAGCCTATAAAATATCACTCAAAATACCAGCGCAAAAACCAAAAAACAAAGCAAGGCTTATTGTGTAAAAATAATATGTGAGTAAACAGGACAGACAGGTGTCTGAAATAAAGATATTCTCTCTTTGATGGTGGAAAAATGATTCGAGCGCACTTTGCATCAGCATCTTTCGATTCCAAGTACTGCAAGTGAGGGAAACAGGAAATCCCGATTAGCTTTAACCTGTTATTTGCCAGTTTGTCTTAGTTTCTAATAACATTTATAAGTTACCGTTATTCGATGTCGCACGTCATTTTTGCTTCAGTTTGAGTTGGTTGATAGTGGACATTTTTATTATGACCTCTTGTAGTATAAATAACTAAATTATAGGTCTGGCCAGCGAAGAATAATAGAGCAATAACAAAAAATATATGGCAAAGGAAAAATTGATTTTATTAACCAACAAGCATGTAATGGCAAAATAATGGCACTAATCATGTGCAATGCATAAAGCGTATTTATAGATTAACTTCTTAAACCTGTTGGTCGAAGTGCCACGAATATTTGAAATTTTTTCTATTGTTCTTAATGCCTAAGTATATTGAGTATCTACTATGTGTATACTAAGTAGCCTGTACACAGAGTTATCTGGTTTAAGACTGGTAATAAAGCTGGAACACCGCAGCGCCTGAGCGACCTGAGCGGGCACAGTCTTCGGTTGGCCCTCTTCACCATTAAGTCACAGTGTATCGCCTAACTCAGATCTTCAGTTAGGGAAACCCTGGGCAGCGTGAAGGAACTGACATGCTCGGGACTACTGGCGGACTTTGATAACTATTAAGGTGGAGAACGTCAACCGACATCACCGTGCATTTCGCTGGATTCAGTTGCGTGTTATTATAGCACAGGCAAACTCCTAGACGTCAGACACTATGTAGCTAAGTAATGAGGGGGCATTTCTAGGGATAATCTCAATAGCTGTAAAGTGGACAACATATTTTGCTCGGGGTTACCAGTCATTCAGAAGATCATCAACCATAATAGCGAATGTATAAAATCGCTGACATTTTTGTCCCCTAGAGGATGCCTCCGTTAAATTTCAATACTGACCATGACGAGGAGGGCAACTTGACAGTTTGTGTCTTGCCTTCCAAGAATGACACAATCCAGCGCTGATAGCAGGGGTGTATATCGAGAGCAGATATTTTCAATCATCACCCGGAGGTCTATGAGATCGAATCCCTTTCCTAAATCAACTGAAAACCAGCGCACGCACGAGTTGCCTCGGTCTAGAGCTTCCAATACAATGTGCAGTAGGTACACCAAAGCATGCTGGGTTGACTTTCCAGAGACAACAAACTGCTTGGGGTTTAGTGCGATGTACTACCTGACAGGACTGTCGAGAGCGTGAACCTTTCCATTATCTTTGTGATTTGGCAGGTGGGCGATCTCGGCCTCAGTTCGTTTTCGATTGACTGTGGAGGCCTCTGTTTAGGTGAAGGACGAACAATTACCCTCTTCAGGAGACTGGGCACGAATCCCTCTCTCATTAATGTGTCATACAAGTCTGCAATAACGGGGCTGAGCTCGAAAATAAAGGTCTCCTTTATTTAATATGCGGTTTGAGATCCCATCTGGCCCGCGTGCTTTGTTGCACTTTAAAGCACGAATTGCCCTGTACGCTTCGTATGATGAAACTAGTGATTCGGGAGGTATATCAGGGACGTCAATCATTAGGAGTGATTGGCGTAAAGCCCGATGTTAGTGCGGCAAAGAACGCTTTGATCTTAAAGAACAGATCGTGCTAATTGTTGGCCATTCATAAGTTGTTTGTGCCAGGCCCCTTCCCGTGAAGACACCCCTGAAAGCCCTTTGATCTCGTTCAACCGTCTTTTTATGTTTTTCAAGATTTTGATATTCGATTTGTAGACGGAGCATTTGCAAGCACTAACAGCGCTTGCAACTGCATGGCACTATGTCTTAAAGACCTGAGGGTCCTTGCAAAACTTTGCCAGGGCTTTTTACCGCTTCGCCATGAATTCCTTGACCTTATTTGTTATTCACGGTATGTCAGCCGGTAAACTTCTGGCGGCTTTGAAGGGACAGAACATGTCTAACGCGTCAGTGATAGTGTGGAGAATGTCAAATTTAGCTTGGCAAGAAGGTGCAATGAAAAAATCATCCCATGCGTGCAATGTGATCGAACTTCCAAATTAAACCTCTCTCAACTTGCTGGGTCTGGTGTCCTGCCTTAAGGTGGTTGTTTAAAGGGCTTCTTTGAAGATTGTTGTGCCAGCTGTTTCACTGCGATAGTAGTCGCTACTACCGATTTTAGGGAGCTGCACAGGGCTTGAAAGTAAGCGAGGCCTATTTGTCCAGTACCAATCGAAAGTGCCAGAGTTTCGTGCTAATACCTTGACCATCTGGGTCTATCCACATGTCTTTTATCAGCACCCGGAGGTGAGAAATTTGTCGAAGTTGGGTCGAAATCGCCAGTAATTTAAATAAGCCTATCTTGATGTTTTGTTGATAAACTGGTCTACGGTCATTTAAATGCGGTTGTAAAGGGTCGCATTGTCATCACTGGTTGCATTGGGAGGAGGGTGGGGGGGGGGGGGTTGATATATCACACCAACAAGAATGAATGACACTGGTCTGAGCAACCGGAAGAGTCTTAACTGAACCCTAGTTGCCACTTAAAAGAATCAAAGAAACCTAGCTATAATGATTCTTTGAAAATAGGGGAAGCCTCTGAAGGGGTCTCAATGGGGAGATGACTTTTACAGCTAAGGGATAAACGTCTAACGGGTAACAACTAATACCATTGCATTGTTGTCACCAGAATTTTCTTCAACGATTAACATTTTTGACGACTATCGGTTAAACAATTTTTACGCCGAACCGGTAATTTTTTTTTGCTTTTTTTCGGCGAACGGTTAACCCTATCGAGATCCTCTTATGAAGAACGACTTTGGTTAACGGCGGATATTGACGTGGATTGCACATCAAAAATTAAACAAAAAGGGTAATGATAACTCGTTTACCTTCCAGAGAAAAAGACAAAAGCAAAAAAAAACAAGAAACGAACCAAACCAAACCAAACCAAAGCAAAACAAAAGGACAAAGCAAGAAAAATTAAGAAAGGAGAAAAATGACTAAGTGGTGTATTTTTCATGGAACTTGTTTTCCAATATCAGCATCAGCCAAAAGATCCTCTTTTCAAAAGAGAATAAAAGAGAAAATAATCTATGTCAAAACTCAAAATTTCTAGTCGTTTTCCGCTGGAGAACATATAGATATTAACCTATTGTTTAGATGAAGATATGGGAATCTCCGACTGTTTTGTCTCAGTAGGACTGCTATTTCTTCCCACTCTAGACTGAGCATAACCTGCCACACTCATATAAATAAACAATTTAGGTATTCAAAAGTTAATTAAATAAATTCAGTTAGCTCACGCTCTATTTAATCTTCTGCAAGGGTGATAATCGTAGCAGATATTGTGATATGACACTTGAGGGGCATAGAAATGCCTACAAGGAAGCGAAATCACCAAATTTTCGAAAGGAAAAAAAAAACACTCCGTATGCAACGCCTCTCTATGGAGAAAGTTAGAGCAATTATGTAGGAAGCGCTGACCAGAAGAACACCAGATAGTGCACGTCAATTAGATCATTGTGTATGCAGATCAGGTGTTTCGTAGTAGAAGTTTTGTCTGCTTTTAACGAAAGCCGTTTCCGACCAGTTTCTCCACTGTTAAACAGTGCATAAATAAAATAGTCATGTCGCCTAGAAGTAACTTCAATCGAAGCCTTTTGTGTGACTTATCAATGATAGCAATCGTGATGCTAAGAGCTAAAATAATAGGGCAGAAGTGGGGAACTACTTCAGGTGGAAGCACAAGATATGGTACCGTTGCATATGTCCTTGGGCAATATCACTGGTTCTCGGAGACGTATGGAAGCTTAAGATGGGACTGTGACGACTTCTTTACTGGTAAAGAATCTTTTGGGTTGTAGTGACTTCTGGAGGGTGTTTGTTCGTTAAGGCCAAAAAAAAAAAGATAAACCTAAAAGCTTTCTCTGTCCTAAAGGGAATCGAGAGCTGACCTACATGTCGATATCATTCTGTAAGAATTATGGCGTATTTTTTTGTCTTTTTTAAGTTTTCACCTTATGTTATCGAGGTAAACCACCGGTTTGGAACACGCCGCTGTTGAAATAATAAAAATGACCTTGTGGATAAAAACGTCTGGTAAAAAAAAAAAAAAAATCAATAAAAAATTGCCGAAGCAGATATCCAATACTCTGAGATGGCAATCAAAATAGAAATGTGCACGTGCACACGAGTATTATTAGAAATTAGCTTAGAATTGCTTATCTTGACCTTCTTATAACTACGTTAGTGATAATTTCATGGAATAATAACTTCTATGTCGCTTCTTCTTTTGATGTCCCATTAA